GCACAAGGAGCGAGCTAACAGTTTATGCAAATGAGCCATGCGGTCTTAAGTTTAGTTTCTGTAAAACGTAAACAAATGTGATCAGAGCTGAATGATCTGATCAAACGGGCTGATGTGGCTCTACAGTGGTTATGGTTTAGATAAAGCTGAGTTTATTTATGCAGAAGATTTTAATAAAGAAACTGTTGGGTTTGATGTGTGCAGTGGATTGTGGGAGATCTCACAGCTCCTCACCGCTGGTTAAACCTCCCGAGTTTCCTCTGCTAAAGGAGCTCATGGTTTGTATTTTTCCTGGTTTATTAAATAGATTTAAGTTAATTTTTGCGCTTTTGCATTTGTAAGATTACGTCAAGAAACCGGGATACTCCATTTGATCATGCACACGGGGATATGATTGTGAATGTATACGCAGTAACCCGAATACTGACATAACCGGGACACTGATGAGCATGTGTACACACTCACTGGCACTTTACAGAAAACAGTTTCAAAGTGAATCAAGTGGGTTTTTTCAAGTTCATAACATTTACAGTGACATTCTCCTACTGGTTTTGCGTTGACATCGAGCACATTTACCAGCTCTAATGAAATAAGATCGCACTTGTCGCGTGTCAGACCTCGAGTCCTCGAGACAAGAGACCAAGACCTGTCTCGAGGACTACGACACTGTGATTCTGTCTCACCAGGACTATGATTCCTTCGTGCAGGGGTCCGGTGGTCTTCAGCGTCTCTCTCTCTCCGTCCACAGAATACTCCCACTGCAGCCCCCCCTCGATAAAGACCCGCTCGGCCCCCTCCTCTCTCTGCCCGTTCAGGATGAAGTTTCCCGTCACCTGGTTCTTCACAGCTGCAAAACAATAAGAAGAAAAATAACACAAAAATCTTTACCAAAATATTCTGAACCAGGGCTTAGACATCGATACTACAAATACACTTTTCCATTAAACGTCCCAGGTATTTGAGCAAAATTTGTCAGTACAGATGTAACGTGTGCTCGCTGCGTATTGTCTGCATTTAATTTGAAAGCGTTTTTTTTTTTGGTCCGATAATCAGGAAGTGCTCCGTTTGCATGCTAGTTGTTGCATGTTGTGGTTTTCTCTCAACCGGATGCACCTTTCAGCGAGACCTGCTGTGACTTAAACTGTGATGCCGGACTGAACCAGGACTGAGACTGGGACCAGACCAGGACCAGGACCAGGACTGAAAACGGTTTAGTCCTGTTTTAGTCCTGGTTCAGTCCGTATGTGGCGCAAAAGTCTGACATCGCAGTTTAAGTCACAGAAGCGGGAAACGGCTGTTATCCGTTTGTTCGATTATTCATTTAAACACAAAATCGAAAACTGAAAAAAAACAATAAACAAAGTCGATCTTTTCTAGTCTTTTGAACCATATCACTTTTGTTTCTGGTTCTGATATTGTCATATTTTAGTTTTGGGATTCGGACATCATTAATTGTGGCTGTTGGATCCTAACAGTGGAAAACGGCTTGAGAAATGTGTTTGCAAACTCCATAAATGCAAAAGGAAATCAGATGTGTGTGACTGTAAACCTCCATTCAAACTGATTCCCTTAACAACGGAATTGAAAAATAGTGAAAGGTGAAGGTGATGGGCAGGACTGATCCACAGGAAGATGAAAAAGGAAACCTTTGACTGCCTAAGAAATCATCCTGAGTTTGCAGCGAACATTTTGTATGTGGAGCGACAACAAAGTGGGATCCTGTTTGTTAAACGAGAGGAAGAAGACAAACAGACTGAGCTGCACTTTCTTGTTCTTGTGGTTTTTACATCACGTCTTGGTCTCTTTGCAGTGGAAGGTGTTTCTGGTGCCTTTCGTTTTGACATTGACTTTTTAAATTCGTAACCAAGGTTGAGTGAGGGATCGAGATTTTGCTTTGTTGTCGCTCCACATACAAAATATTCGATGCAAACTCAGGGATGATTTCTTAGGCATTGAGTGTGTTTACATGCACATCAGTAACCCGGTTATGATCGGGTTTTTTGAGTATCCCGGTTTCTTCATGGTGCATGTATACGCAGTAACCCGGTTATGGCAGTATCCCGGTTATTAGAAACCGGGTTACTGTAGCTGGTTTATTCCGATAGTAACCGGGTTACTTGTGGCATGTAAACGCAGTACCCCGGTTACTGCAACATAAAGTTGAGTGCCATGCGTCCAAAAGACACTTTCCAGCCTTTCACCACAACAGTAGTGACATAAATAAATTGACCAACATAAATAAAGTGACCAAACGAGTGAAATGACTGTAAAATAAAGAGCTGCGCTAAACCTGCACACGTACAATCTGCACTCGTACGACCTGCACTCGTGTGATCGCTGAAAAACTAAAACATGAACTATCTCCTATACAACACACGCACAGAACACACTTACCATCATTAACACCTCTTCTGTCACAGAAATAACACACATAATCCACAGAGTCGTGTCATTTAGTCCAAAAGAAACTGATCGCATCAGCGGCGCAAGGAGCGAGTTGTTTTTTCGCCGCTAACAGTTTATGCTAATTAGCCAAACGGTCTTAAGTTTCGTTTCTGTAAAACGTAAACAAATGTGATCAGAGCTGAATTATCTGATCAAACGGGCTGATGTGTCTATAGTGTTTATGGTTTATATGTTGTAAAGTTGAGTTTATTTATGCAGAAGATTTTAATGAAGAATCTGCACAGTGGATTGTGGGAGATCTCGTAGCTCCTTAGCTTCTTATGCTAAAGGAGCTCACGGTTTGAATTTTTCCTGGTTTATGAAATTGATTTAAGTTAATTTTTGCGCCTGCGCATTTGTAAGATTATGTCAAGAAACCGGGATACTCCATTTGATCATGTACACGCGGATATGAGTGTCCCGGTTTCTCAGTGCGCATGTAAACGCAGTAACCCGAATACTGACATAACCGGGATATGGCTAATAACCGGGTTATTGATGTGCATGTATACCCACTCATTGAAAGATTTCCTTTTTGGTTCTTTCTGTGGATCAATCCTGCCCATCACCTTCACCTTTCAATATTTTTCAATTCCGTTGGGAAGAGAAACAGTTTGAACAGATGTTTGCAGTCACACACATCTGATTCCCTTTTGCATTTGTGGAATTCGCAAACAAATTTCTCGAGCCGTTTTCCACTGCTAAGACATCCAATGACCTCACAATGACGATGTCCGAATCCCAAAGCTAAAATATGACAATATCAGAACCAGAAACAAATATGGTTCAAAAGACTTGAAAAGATCGACTTTGACAATAGACCGAGCCCACTGGGAAATCAATCATGGTGGTTTGATGCTCACTTTTCCCAGTCTGTACTGCGCGATGACCAGACGTCCGAGATTCTTCATGCATGTATTGTTATCTTTTTTTTCATTTTGGTTTTGGAGAAAAATGATGAAGAAAATAGTGATGAGTAATTGTCAGTGTCTCATAGGATTTCAGCAGATTTCAGACTCTCTCAGGGGCGGGGCTAGTTCTGTCAATCAGGTATGAGTGGATCTCCGGCTACTGAAGTTTGAGACGTTTCTTCTCGTCATTTACACACACATGTATTCCCCTCACTAATGTTCATTTAACATCAAAACTTATTTTAACACACGCCGATAAACTGTTTTGGTGCACTGATAACTAGGGGTGTCAAATTATCGCGTTAATTGCGATTAATTAATTACAGTCATATTTAGCGCGTTATGTTTTTTAATCGCGTTAATCTCATTTTTAATCTCTAACTTTAGTGTTTCTGTATGTGAGTTTCTTTATTATAAAACCTGTTTTTATGTGTTGTTGGGACAACAACACACACACACACACACAAAAAACACATTTATACATTTTTTAATTTCGGCAATTCCACTCATTGTCGGAAACCCACACAAAACACGCGCAGTAAGAGCGACGTTTACGGCGTCAGTCACACAATGGACGAGGTGGAAGAGCCAGTAGAACAGAGCAGCAGTGCACAGGTAAAAACACATTCGTGTCTTGGAAATTATTCTCCCGACGTGAAATATAAAAAAAAATAACAAATATAATATCGCCTGAAAACAACCTGCATAGACTCATGATGTCTGCACTACTGTCCTATAGTGACCTGCCACATGAGGGGACATGCACACAAACACACAAACACAAACACACACAAACACAAACACACACAAACACACACCTTCATCATCGTCATTAACCTGAGAACGCGTGGACCACGTTTCCTTCCGTAGTTACTGCGTGGACACAGACGTGCTCCCGTGAGCCGCGTGTGGATCGTGTTTTCTCGCGTACGCGGCGTAAACCGAGCTTCCTCCTGTGAACCTCTAAACCAGAACTAACACCAAGACTAAAACCAGGACTAATTCAGTCCAGGACTAAACCAGGACTAAACCAGGTCTAAACCAGGACTAAACCAGGACTAAACCAGAACTAAAACCAGAACTAAAACCAGGACTAAACCAGGACTAAACCAGGTCTAAACCAGGACTAAACCAGGACTAAACCAGAACTAAAACCAGGACTAAAACCAGGATTAATCCATTCCAGGACTAAACTAGGACTAAAGTAGGACTAAAGCAGGTCTAAACCAGGACTAAAACCAGTGATCTCATATATAAAGCATTTCTCTATCAATAATATTTTTAATATGGTTAAGGAAAGACTGGACTTTTTATTGTCTTTAAGTCGACAAAAGTTATTATGTTCAGATTTCCTCGTCTTTGCTACTTTACAGCAAACAGTTTCTTATTCATGGAGACTTGGGCTCAACAGCCAATTTGGAGAGATTTGTTAAACAATAAATGACTTTATAAAGTCACTTTTTTTTGTTCTATATCAGTCTTTTGATCTGCCACAATAATGTAATAATGAATTTAAATGAAAATACCTCAAATTGAAGCTTTTCTCAGCAATTTTTAGGTGAGATTAAAATGAGATTAATTAGATTAATTAATTACAGATCATAATTAATTAATCTCTCAATTTTTTTAATCGCATGACAGCACTACTGATGACATCGCTAACTAACGCTGCACCTTCATGTTAACATATATACGATGTGTTAACTGCACAGACAGCGGCGTTTTCTGCACTCAGGCTGCGCGCATCCACCGTGTTGCCAAACCATAGACCGTATATATGAATGGACAATGTGCCAAACAAATAACCCGTCCATATATTCGCTGCATCATTGTATAAGTTGCAGGCTTCAAAAGTGTGAGAAAAAAGTAGCGGCTTATAGTCCGAAAATGACGGTACTGCTCAACAAACCTTGAAAACTTGGTTCACAATAAAGTTTCTGTAACGTAGAGACATCACCGCGTCCTGTAACCTTCTGTCGGGTTTGAAAATGAAGCGAGCAGCCGCATCGACCAACCTTATAACCAACTCCCGCAGTTTTTCACATCATATTTCTGAATCCTGTTATAAAATATACTGTATATATGTAAGTCTTTGTGTGATTTTGTTGCGCATTTTCCCACCTGCCCTTCCTCAGAACAGTCTCCAGTCCTGTAACGTTGATTCACACTGGTTTAATTGCTCTGTTCTAAAGGCTGCAGCCCCATGAGCTCTTGTCAAAACACTGTAGAGATGATGAAAGCTGAGGGCCACAGGAGACCAGAGGAATACATATATACTCTATAAATATATAAAACGTGTTCCTCGCTTTCCATGGTATTTGGTCTCTCTGCTGTTCCTAGTACTGCGCTTTCCTGAACTGAGATATTTGATGTTTTTCCCGGTATCTGCTGTAGCCTCTTCCGGTTTGGGAGTTACAGCCCCGAGAGCTTCGATCACCGCGGACAAAACTGATGCTTTTCATGTTCCAGGTCTTCTCCAGGTCTTCCTTGAGTCCCTGGTATTTCTCTAGTTTCTTGTGTTACTTCTTCCTGATATTTACCGGTGTGCAAAAAGTTATGATTAAAGTGATGATACAGAGTTGATATCGTGGGCTGCCGAGTCTGTGTTTCATTCGGTCATTTGTTTTTCAATATAAAACCAAAAACAGGAACATGAAAAAATAACTGTTTTGCTCGTTATTTATCTCTAAAACCTAAACAGGACTAAACCATGACCAAACCATTTTCAGTCCTGGTTTGGTTCCAGTCTCAGTCCTGGTGTGGTCCTGGTGTGGTCCTGGTCTGGTCCTGGTCACAGTCCCAGTCTCAATCATGGCCTGGTCCTGGTCTGGTCCCAGCCGCAGTCTTTGGCTCAGTCCTGGTCTCAGTCCCGGTGTCAGTCCCGGTTTGGTCCCAGTCTCAGTCCCGGTCTCAGTCTAGGTCTCAATCAAGGCCTCAGTCCCAGTGTCAGTCCTGGTCTGGTCCCGGTTTGGTCCCGGACAGGTCCCGGGCTCAGTCCCGGTCTCAATCACAGCCTGGTCCCGGTCTGGTCCCGGTCTCAGTTCCAGTCTCAGTCTTGGTCTCAATCAAGGCCTCAGTCCTGGTCTCAGTCCCGATCTGGTCCCGGGGTCAGTCATGGTCTGGTCCCGGTCTGGTCCCGGTCTGGTCCCGGGCTCAGTCTCAGTCTCAATCACGGCCTGGTCCTGGTCTGGTCCCGGTCTCAGTCCCGGTCTCAGTCTAGGTCTCAATCAAGGCCTCAGTCCCAGTGTCAGTCCTGGTCTGGTCCCGGTTTGGTCCCGGACAGGTCCCGGTCTCAGTCCTGGTCTCAATCAAGGCCTCAGTCCTGGTCTCAGTCCCAATCTGGTCCCGGGGTCAGTCATGGTCTGGTCCCGGTCTGGTCCCGGTCTCAGTTCCGGTCTCAGTCCTGGTCTCAATCAAGGCCTCAGTCCTGGTCTCAGTCCCGATCTGGTCCCGGGGTCAGTCATGGTCTGGTCCCGGGCTCAGTCTCAGTCTCAATCACGGCCTGGTCCTGGTCTGGTCCCGGCCTCAGTCCTGGTCTCATCCTGGTCCTGGTCTCAGACTCAGTCCTAGTCTGGTCCCGGTCTGGTTCCGGTCTGGTCTGACCTGGTTGAGTCCTGGTTCAGTCCAGCATCGCAGCTGAAGTCAAGGAAACAGGAAAAGACCGTTTTTTTCCATTTTTCATTTAAACACAAAATCAAAAACTGAAAAAACGAATCGTTATCCGTTTTATTCATTTTGGTTTTGGAGAAAAATAATGAATAAAATAGTTGTTTTTTTGTTTTCTTATTTTTGGGTTTATATTGAAAAACAAATGAACGAATGATACACGGATTCTGCTGTATCGATAAATCGCCAGGAGTATTTTTTGGTATATTTTACTAAATTATGTTGTTTCTGCTACAGTTTTGTTGTTTGTTCAGAGGAAGGAAACTCATTTATGCGACACATTTGACATTTTCACTGTTTTGATGATTAAAATGTTTGTGTTTCATATTCACTTTGCACAAGAAGTGGTTTAACAAAGACTTTTAGTGCCACAGACATGATTTAGCCTTCGTACTGTATCGAAAGCTCACTGTCGATACACCTTCACTTCAGTCATTTGGATGATTTCAGCCCTAGAACTAGGATAGGATCTTTAACTAGACCTAATAATCAAAATAGTAGTTGATCTATTGTGCACGTTTTGGTTCGATGGGGGAAACTGGACGACAAACAATTAATACAGACGTTTGTTTTGATCACGACTGTTGCTTTGACAGAAGATTAACCCACACACAGATGGACATGAGCAGTTATAGCTTTAGTTCCTCGGTATCAGAGTGTGAGGAGGTTTCTTACCGATTAGATGCGGTGACGTCTCGTTCTCCTCGATCACGATGTGCCGAGCTCCAATGGGAATATCGAACATTTTCAGCATCCCTAAAAAATACAAAAATACATCCAGAACAAAGGGTTAAAACATGAAACAAGGGACTGTAAATTCAACAATATACATGCTCTTTCACCATGACCAGAGTTGTTTTTTTTATTTTTTACTGTATTTTTATTTATTATTATGAATCTCTACTTTAAAGATGCACTGTTTAAAGGTGCACTGTGTAACTTTTCTAGCGTAGGGCCCGTCAAATGCTTTTCTCTATGGAGATCTTATTGCTTTGTCTGAAATGTTTCACAGTACGGTGTGAAACCTTTTTATTTTCATGGAAACCAAACCAGACCAAGTTACAGGTCAGATCTGCGGAGAGGCGACCCCGCTCACAGTCAGAATGTCTGTTTTTCTAGGTATTTTTGAGATATAAAACCATCTGTAATTGAATAAATGTAAGGTAGAGCTGTTTAATGTCACACTGTGGAACGTTCCAGGCAGAGCAATGACGTATCCATAGAAACAAACAGGTGACGAACCCCCAACCCAAGAGTTACGAAAGCGGTTTTCAGGCCGGCCAGAACGGTGCCGATGCCGGTTTCCACACCAGTTACGTTGGGAAAGTGTTTACTGGTGAACGAGCTGCGTTCAAACCGTTTAAGTGAACCTCTGATGCGTTATCGACAGAGGGTGTGGATGGTTTCACTTCGTGGAAACCGTCTGACCTCGCAGCATTAGGATTCGTTCACTCGACGGTAGGCAGGTACTTTTTTTTTTATTTAACCAATCGCTGCTATTTGGTCGTGACATTTGTAATGCAACAAATCCTGTAGGAAAAAGGGCAATAACGTCTTTAACCTTGATCAAGTTCACCAAACATTCTCTTTGTTCCGGCTTTTAATCCTCGATCTCGGGAATCGTTGCCAACACAGAATGTCTGTCTTCATCTACGTCCATCTCGACGCTTTGTTTATCGTTGTGCTGTTCCACAAAAGGGACACAGACAGACGCGACGAGTTTGACGTCATGGCTTCACAGCTCTTCTCTGATTGGCCGGTGCGTGGTCTACAACTTCCGGGATTCTTGCAAACCGTCTAGTGTATTCTGATTCCTGACCTAGTCGCTGGAGAGAAATGAAATTGAGCGCGAAAGAGAAAATAACAATCATGGATCGCACCATCAACACCAGAGAGCGTTTGTACACATACATATCATTATTTATCTACACCAGGCATGTCCAAACTATGGTCCGGGGGCCAAATGCGGCCCTCAGACAAATTTTTCTTGGCCCTCAGGCTTCCAGGAGAATTGGCCCAAATTACCTTGCATCAATTAAAACATAACTTTTTACTGCAAGTTTTTGGAAAATCTACCTTGATAAAGCCAATATTTAATATTTAGTATGTGGTTTTGAGGATCGTAGCATGAATAAAGACTGATGGATCATTCTAACATGTTAAACATGCACATATTTAAATTATTCACTGTACTGAGCACCAGTCTACGGCCCTCGATCGGCCCTCTGCTTCAACTGATCTACACAGAACTCTGCTAGAACATCTGCTGTGGAGAAGGTGGCAGCAGCGGCCAATCCAAAGATGTAATCTTACCATGCAAACACGGATACAGCAAATATTTGGTCTCCTCCGCTGACCACTGCACAATCTTCTTGTCACTTCATTTCTCCACCATATTACACACACACATTTTCTTTCTTTGTTTATTTTACCGCGTGTGACCTGGATGAACCTGCTGACGTTGACTGTGTCATCATGGTTCACTTAGAAAAAACGTTTTGCTTGTTTTACCTTTTCAATTTTTGGTTCTCGAATGCTCTGATTTTCGGCATGAACACATCAGTTGGTTCGAGATTAGGTGTGGGAACAGGCACCGGCACGATTCTCTGTCAGTCTGAAAACACCAACTTTTTGCTTTGCTACAAAATAGGCGAGTTTCAGCTGACGTCATTGTTATTAAAAGCCCGCGTTGCTGCTGGGAAATATTTTGGTCGGAGGCAAGAAACACGATAGCGTCAAACACAGTGCGTAACCTCGCGTATTTATCCCCGATAATGGTAAATTCCTGCTGCATTATCGGATGCACAAATAGAAGCACGGAAGAAGGAAAATGTCTTTTTCGTATTCCGAGTGAAAAGAACCGCTAACGGTGAATTAAACGGCTTTCAAACATCCGCAGAGCAAACGTAGAAGATCCTAACAAACCGTGGACTCCAACAAGTTCAACAACACATCGAGACTCTTGGAGGTTTTCATCTTTTCTGCTGTGAATGGCCCAGGAGTTTCCACCAAGTCATTGTGGATATCACCCAAGTGAATATTTGTCCAGGTAGTTGGCGATTCTGACCAGAAATTTGGTTTGGTCCACCTTTTGTCGGGGTTGAAAAGGGTGATTTGGCTCCATCGATGCTTATGACCAATTTCTGGTCAAATGGTCTTGGGTCCTCTGCCGTTAGAGTGGATAAATAACCGGGATCAATACCCTTAACATGCTTTCTCGCTCCGTCCGTCATGTTGAATTAGTGTTTCTTGCCGCCGACCAAAATAATTCCCAGCATGCAACGCGCGCTTTTGTCAACAATGAAACTCGCCTCTTCCATACATCCTCCTTCACAGTGAAAGTGTATGAAGTTTAAAAACACTTTGGAGCACTTCCTGTTTTCTGTTTGAGAGAAGAACTCAGCCTAAATCTGCAGGGTCTGGGTGTTAAACATGTGAAATTGAAACTCCAGGCCTGTTTGCGACGAGGAAACGACATTATAACAGATCAGAAAATAGTGTCTTTCATAAGCGAACTTTAAACAGTAATGAAGGACGGACGGTGAATAAATGGCACAGATGCCCTTTCAGAAATATCACCCTTTAAAGTTCAGCATTTTACCGTTTTTCTTGGGCGTCTTGGTCAGGGTGAGTTTGACAGTTCTGCAGTGCGAGTTATCCCCTTCGCAGACTCCACACTTGTCCTCACTCTTGTACGAGCCCACCTCCTTATCGCAGCCGACGTGCTGTTGAGCAAAGCGTCACAGGGGTTAGGCACAGATTTGGAACTCGTACACGATAAAAAAAACATGGACCACAGCCAGAGGAGAAGAGTTCAGACAAAACACGAGACGGGCCTTGGGTCGGTACAAAACAGAGACAAAACAAGAGATTATTTTAAAAGTGACATTGAAGCTTTGTCCTTACTGATTCAGAATGACATCATCTTGTACTCTTCTTATTTTTTATTTTTGTTTTAAATTTAGCCAAAACGGATCTTGTACGTATAAATTAAAGGGACTGTACCCAAAATTTTCATGGAATTACGTAATATTTTGCATGTGTGTTGGTGAAAAAGTAATGCACTCAAAATTTCCCTCAATGCACCTTGAAAACTAGTGGGCATATGTGATCACTAGAGCGGCCAATATCGACCATAATGCATCGCGAGAGTCGGGAAAATAACGGCGTGCAACTACACGTGTTTAACAGGACACAACATGACTGAATGAAAAATAAAAGTGCTGGTTTATGACTCTGTTTACGCTGATTTTAAATAAAACACTGTAAAATAAACTATCTTAAAAGAGCGATAATTTGCACATTCCCGACAAAAAGCAAATAATCCAGTCTGTTTACATAAATCCAGCGTGACACAAACTTGTATGATTATTATTAGTCCATAAACACTTGTGTGTCAGTCTGATCTGATCAGTATTTATGACACAAATTAAGTTTTATGGGAGTTTAGTGGACTTCTTTTTCACCCAGACGCTAGAGTCACGAGACCAGACTGTAGTGTGCTTGCCATGGATCTATACAGGGTCGGACTGGGAACAAAATCTGGCCCTGGCATTTTTCCTCTGGACCGGCCGACAGTTCAGTACTGTAGGTCCCCATTACGCACACTATGCACAGCGCGTAGTGCACCATCGTGGGCTGGGGAGGAGCAAAGGCTCAGAAATGTGCATTCTAAAATGCTTTTCTTTACAAAAAAATAAAAATAAAAATCACTTTAACTAATAAAAACACAGAGTTTTAATAAATTATGTGGTTTACACACAACACGGAAAAAAGAAGGAAATAAAAATTTTAAAGAGATTGTGAAGGAGAAGGGCGAGGTTTTTGGCCATAGTGTTTTGTGGGACAGCGGCAGCAACAACCGTAGAAAGGAACGTGTGGATGTGGAGACGGAGCCAAGAGTGGTGAGTGGTGATGTGCTTTGCTTCAGTTCATTAACAATTTTCATATGACGAGAAGAACGTTTGTGTACATTTGTGAGCTCCTACTTGTGCCACTCTCGCGTGAGGAAACACATTATTTATTTCCATGAGCAAATGCGTTGGCGTTGGGCTTTATTGGCTGGCAACAGGTGCTTGTTACCGCACAATAGCCAAACTCTTTGACATAACCAAGTCCATCATGTGATAACGTGTAGGTGGATGAATCCTCCTTGGCCGTTCACACTGAAGTCACATGTCAAAAGATCAGATATGTATCAGTTTCAGGAGCACATATCCAAGTGTCCTGGGTCACATTTGAAAAAATCGGATCTGTGTTGTTCAGACTGTCATAAAAAGATCAGATACAGGAACATAGAGGCCAAAAAATCGGATTTGGGTCACTTCAGGCTGCAGTGTGAATGTACCAAATGCAGCAGCAAATGCGCCTTGTGATCAGAGCATCTAGAAGCCATGAGGGGCTCTCTAAGAACAGTTTTTAATGTTTCAGGCCAGTCACCGGCCTTCAGAGCAATGCCAGTCCGAGCCTGGATCTATAATAAAAAAGGATAAGGCATTTCCTTTCTGTCCCAGCTTGAGATTGACTAGTGGCCACTCCAGGTACTGCAGCTCCAGGAGTTCGGGCCCAGAAAGAATTCTCCCACAGCGAGCAATGCATTTTTTGGGAATTCAAACTGCCCGTGTACAGCTGACAGAGCATCGACAACTTTCACAAAGGTCAGATTTTGTAGGAATTCTTTTCTATTTTCACAACATAAACTTTTAAAAAATGTTTAAATCCTCAAAGTGCCTAAAAGTTTGGTTTGTAAGACTTAAGGCTGAATTACAGTTCTGCATCAACTCAGTGCACAATGCTGCCGTCGTCGCCTTGTCACCGTTGTTTTTAATTGATTGCTGATTGATTGCTCTCCATGCTAACTCACTCCCCCTTCACAACACAATCAGAGTACATCCCACTAATGAAACTACTGCACATCGGATCAGGTTTGTGAAGTTGTAGTTTACAGTTTTGTATCATGTTTTTGTATATTTGTGTAGAATTGTCGTGTGGAAGCGAGGGTGACGTACAAAGGGCTTGTGGGCGGAGCCTCGTACAGAATCTTACAGCTAACTCTAAGAAGGATTTGAATCAAGCCCAGGAGAGATCGCTAGATTACTCAAACATACATGGAAGACGTCTAAAACCCCTTTTTGAATGTTTTTGATGAGGAAACAACTTTATAACACATTAGAAAGCTCCAAAAAAGTTAATTTCACATAATATTCCCTCTTTAAACACCCAAAATTCACATAAAATTGCAAATTTAACTTTAAGTATAGATGTTTTTAGAGCACGAAACAAAGTCTTTTGTCAGTGGCGTGTTTAATAGCTGTGTTTTGGTTCATTTGCGTCATTTGGAGCTGTTTATTTATAAAAATCCTTTGACGCATTGAATCGATTTTTGCGATAATCTAAACTTGTTTTTTTTTTTTTTCACGGGCTCTTTGAACGCACCATGAATCACCCACATTTTCCTCTTCAGATCTCATTTACTGTCGATGGATAAAAAGAGACAAAAATTATTCAATTTTGTGGCTTCATCAAGAGCGTAATTTAAAAGAATAACAAATAAATGTCAAACGAGAATGCACTGAGAGCGCCAGTGTGATTTTGAATGGGTTTTTCTCTGTTTTTCTCCCTGAACACAATATTTCTACCTGATAATTAACCTAATGATGTTTTCTGGGTAATTTAAAGGGGCATTACGTAACTTTTATGTCTTCTATTTCAGATAAATCCCTGTTACTACATAAACTACATTCTAAATCTAAAAAAAATGTGGAAAATTAGACTGTTATTGCTGAGAAACACGGGGAAACAAGTTTTAGTAGCAGTAATAGTCAGTATCATAGTAGCAGCAGGAATGTCGTAGTAGTAGTAGTAGAAATAGTAGAAGTAGTAGTAGTAGTAGCAATAGTAGTAGAAGGATTGGTGGTAGATTCTCCCCTCATGGTAGTAATGACAATAGATGACAGTAGATGTTGTAACATTAGAAGTAGCAGCAGTAGTAGTAGTCGTAGTAAGAGTAGTACAGTAGTAGTAGTAGTAGTAGTAGTAGTAGTAGTAGTAGTAGTAGTAGTAGTAACAGTAGTAGTAGTGATAGATTCCACCTCCTAGTAGTAATGACCGTAGAAGTGGTAGCATAGTAGAGTAGTAGTAGTAGAGTAGTAGAGTAGTAGTAGAGTAGTAGTAGTAGTAGTAGAGTAGTAGTAGTAGTAGTAGGAGGAGTAGTAGTAGTAGTAGTATAGTAGTAGTAGTAGTAGTAGTAGTAGTAGTAGGAGTGTAGTAGTAAAGTAGCAGTAGTAGTAGTAGTAGTAGAAGTAGGAGTAGTAGTAGTAGTAGTAGTAGTAGTAGTAGTAGTAGTAGTAGTAGTAGTAGAGTAGTAGTAGTAGAGTAGTAGTAGTAGTAGTAGTAGTAGTAGTAGTAGACTAGTAGTAGTAGTAGTAGTAGTAGTAGTAGTAGTAGTAGTAGTAGTAGTAGTAGTAGTAGTAGTAGTAGTACAGTAGTAGTAGTAGTAGTAGTAGTAGTAGTAGTAGTAGTAGTAGTAGTAGTAGTAGTAGTAGTAGTAGTAGTAGTAGTACTAGTAGTAGTAGTAGTAGTAGTAGTAGTAGTAGTAGTAGTAGTAGTAGTAGTAGTAGTAGTAGTAGTAGTAGTAGTAGTAGTAGTAGTAGTAGTAGTAGTAGTAGTAGTAGTAGTAGTAGTAGTAGTAGTAGACTAGTAGTAGTAGTAGTAGTAGTAGTAGTTTTATAGTTAGGAGGTTAAGTAGGTAGTAGACTAGTAGTAGTAGTAGTAGTAGTAGTAGTAGTAGTAGTAGTAGTAGTAGTAGTAGTAGTAGTAGTAGTAGTAGTAGTAGTACAGTAGTACTAGTAGTAGTAGTAGTAGTAGTAGTAGTAGTAGTAGTAGTAGTAGTAGTAGTAGTAGTAGTAGTAGTAGTAGTAGTAGTAGTAGTAGTAGTAGTAGTAGTAGTAGTAGTAGTAGTAGTAGTAGTAGTAGATTAGTAGTAGTAGTAGTAGTAGTAGTAGTAGTAGTAGTAGTAGTAGTAGTAGTAGTAGTAGTATGTGCTTGGGGTCTGGTTGGTACTTGTCTACTAGTCCTTAGGCAAGACACTTCATCCATATTGCCAAGTATAAATGTGTTATGTAAGTGGTTGCTGGGGTCAGGGGGCTGATGGCGCAAATTGGCAGCTTCGCGTCTGTCAGTTTGCCCCAGGGCAGCTGTGGCTACAATAGTATCTTACCACCAGCGAGTGTGGAATGAAGGAATAATGTTCTGTAAAGCACTTCGGGTGTCTTAAAGTAATAGTAGTAGTAGTAGAAGTTTTGAATGTGTGGCCAATTTACTGTGAAATAGTGGGTAGAAGTAGTAGTAGTAGTAGTAGTAGTAGTATTTGCAGTACTCACCAGACACTCTCCTCTGGCGCACACGCTGAACGGGTCGCTGTAGCTGCACCTGGTCCCGTCGTGCATCACCTGGTTCATGGAGACCACCTCCCCCGTCTCTTTGGACAGACACGACAGCTCACACTTACGACTCTCTGAAACAAAACAAAACAAAACACGAGAAATACATTTTACTTTACACTTCGGACTCAGAGACAAACTTAGACGATTGAGGAGAATCTTCACAAACACGCACAGACGACGCCTCCCACAGAACTCTAAATGTGCCACAACAAGCTGCTCCTGTTCATCCAAAGTTGTGCAGGTTGCCACGGTGAAACGTCTCTGTGGACTTTCACTTCTGTAAGTTGTTTTAGATAAATTAATTAATTAAACGTTATAAAGGTGCACTGTGTAACTTTTCTGGTGGCGTGTCTGTTAAATACTTTCCCCCGTGGAGATGTTATCGCTTTGGAAGGTTCCACAGTATGGCTTTAAACCTTTCTTTCTTCTTCATGGAGACCAAACCGGACCAAGTTACAGGTCAGGTCTGCGGAGAGGCGACCCTGCTTTGGCGACTTTTTGAGCTATAAACCCACCTGCAATTGAATAAATGTAAAGTAGAGCTGTTTAATAAGCAAAAGATGTTCATTTTGTCGTCTTATGTACTTTAACTTCTTGGGTTCTTTTTAAAGACAATGCAGTGAAGTGTGTTTACCTTGTTGACGTGTTTCGGCTGCTGCGTCTTCAGAACTGTCCCCGGTGTTGGTGGTGACGTGTCGTATATCAGTTGTTGTTACTTCCTGTGGGCGTGGTCAGACCTGATGGACCTGGCAGGTCGCTCAGACTGACCACGCCTCCCGTCGCCCGGTGTCTCTGGAGGAGGGTGTCCCAGGCGTGTGAAAGGAGGAACGCGCCGTCATCACGGTTAACGCTGTCCGTGCCTCGTTTCCTGATTTCAACGTCCTCCTCGATCCAGCGTTGAACTTGTTGTTTTCCGATCCAATGACCCGAGCCCCGTCCCGATCCAGAATGTGGTTGTTCCTTTTACAGTGTCTGATGTGGCGGTTTTTAGGTTTTCCTGTTCTGCTTTGTCTTTTTGTGTTCTGGTGAGTCTCCCTGACGTTTCCTTCTCGCATTCCTTTTGGTGTTTCCTTTTTTCGGATGTGAAATGCCCGGCCTGTTTCCCCTATGTATGATTGCATTGAATTTCGTAGATGGCGTTGCATTTTTGTTCTTGTGGGATTTTGTCCTTGGGATGTACGAGCTGTTGGTGGAGTTTTGTGTCTGGTTTTACTACAGTGCTAATGTTGTGTTTTTTCATGGCTCTGGATGGGCTCCAAACATGTCAACAAGGTAAACACACTTTACTGCATTGTCTTTAAAAAGAACCCAAGAAGTTAGAGCTGTTTAATGTCACACTGTGGAACATTCCAGGCAGAGCAATGACGTATCCATAGAAACAAACAGGTGACAGGACCCCCAACCAAAATGTTGCGTAGTTCACCTTAAATAACCGTAAGTCATTGAAGCTACAACATGTAACTTTCTACACGTCACCTGCATGATTCAGTGGAAATAGAAACATCAACACCAGACTGTGGACTAGTCAAAGAAACAACATTTCCATAGAAACAAGCAGAAGAAAGCTACAAGACAAAAAAAAAAAGAGTCAGGTTTGTAGAGATGCAAGCCCTCAGAGTAAGGATGCATGTTTTTCATCCATCCATTCATTTTCTTCTTCTTACTTTATGTTGGTGTCAACCAAAAATACACTTTCCCGGTTGCAACGGGTCCAAAACTCAGCGGCTCGACTTTTAACTGAAACCCGGAAACACGAGAGCGTCTCACCTGTTTTAGCTTCACTTCATTGGCTCCCAGTGTCTTTTAGAGTTGATGTTAAAATTCTTTTATTCACTTTTAAGTGTTTGCACGGCCCAGCGCCCTCCTACCTCACTGACTTGATCCACCCTCACGTCTCGTCTCGCACTCTCAGGTCTGCAGACCAACTCCAGCTCGCCGTCCCAAAAGCTAAACGTAAACTTCGTGGGGACCGTGCGTTTTCTGTTTCTGCCCCTCGGCTGTGGAACCAGTTGCCATTAGTGATTAGAGGCCGAGTCTGTACCTGTTTTTAAATCACTCTTAAAAACTTATCTTTTTTCACTGGCTTTTAATAAGTGACATGTACATTTCTTGTCGAGTATTTAGCTGTTTTTTTTTATGTTTTTAATGGTTGTATTGTATGTGTATCATATATTATCTTCTATTGTCTGTCCTGTGTTTGTGTACAGCACTTTGGCCGACTGTAAAGTTTTTAAAGTGCTTTATAAATAAAGTTGGTATGGTATGGTATGCTTATCCAGGGCCAGGTCGCGGGAGCAGCAGTCTAAGCAGGAACTCCCAGACTTCCTTCACGCCAGACACTTCCTCCAGCTCCTCCAGGGGGACCGTAAGGCGTTCCCAGGCCAGCCCAGAGACATAGTCCCTCCAGTGTGTCCTGGGTTTTCCTCGTGGTCTCCTCCCGGTGGGACATGCCCGGAAAACCTCTCGACGGAGGCGTCCAGGAGGCATCAGGAACGGATGCTCGAGCCTCAGCTGCTCCTCGCGGCGTGGAGGAGCAGCGGCTCTACTCCGAGCTCCTCCCGTGTGACTGAGCTCCTCACCCTGTCTCTAAGGGAGCGTCCAGACACCCTGCGGAGGAAACTCATTTCGGCCGCTTGTATCCGTGATCTCGTCCTTTCGGTCACTACCCAGAGCCCATGAGGTGAGGGGAGAAAAGTAGATTGGCCGGTAAATCGAGAGCTTCGCCTTTCGACTCAGCTCCCTTTTCACCAAAACGGTCCGACAGAGCGATCGCATCACTGCCGACACTCGTGAACAAGACCCTGACATACTTGAACTCCTCCCTGCCTAAAGTGGAAGCATGTTTTTAGTGCAATATAAAAAAAAAAAAAAAAATGTAAGGAAAAAAAAAATTACTCAGGCTTTAAATAGCATAAAAACAACATAAAAAGCATAATATGTGTGAAGTGAAACTAACTTTTTGGCTACTAAAATGTATATACGGTGTCTGAATCGCATTGTCTACTGTTCTTAATTATTTTGAGGTGCAAACCGAGTAAATTTATATCTTTCTCAGTCCCTCTTTTATCCCCCCTCTCCTCTCACCGTCTGGGTGCTCGTAGGGCATCCAGGTGTGCTTGGTGTTCTTGTGGTACTTGTTGCTCCTCTGGGTGCACTGCTGAGCTCTGAAGTCCTCGTAGGGCCCAGCGCACTCCTCCGTGTTACACATCTGATAATCGAAGGCCGATCCAGGACAGTCCCTCCCCCCGTACGCCGGACTGAGAGAAGAGACGACAGGCAGATTAGACAGACTCAACCCACACTTATGTCACAGATAATACTCCCTACAACTCCACAACAACTCACCCTTATGTCACAGATAATACTCCCTACAACTGTACAACACTCCTTATGTAACAGATAAACTACACCAACTCCCCTTATGTCACAGATAATACTCCCTACAACTGTACAACAACTCACCCTTATGTCACAGATAATACTCCCTACAACTGTACAACAACTCACCCTTATGTCACACAACTCACCGTCACAGATAATATCCCTACAACTGTACACAACTCACCTTATGTCACAGATAATACTCCCTACAACTGTACAACAACTCACCCTTATGTAACAGATAATACTCCCTACAACTGTACAACAACTCACCCTTATGTCACAGATAATACTCCCTACAACTGTACAACACTCACCCTTATGTAACAGATAATACTCCCTACAACTGTACAACAACTCACTTATGTCACAGATAATATCACAACTCAACCCACCTTATGTAACAATAATACTCCTACACTTACAACAACTCACCCTTATGTCACAGATAATACTCCCTACAACTGTACAACCATACTCACCCTTCATGTAACAGATAATACTCCCTACAACTGTAACAACAACTCACCCTTATGTCACAGATAATACTCCCTACAACTGTACAACAACTCACCCTTATGTAACAGATAATACTCCCTACAACTGTACAACAACTCCCCTTACATTAATACTCCCTACAACTCCACAACCATCACCCTTTATGTCACAGATAATACTCCCTACAACTGTACAACCACTCACCCTTATGTCAGATAATACTCCCTACAACTGTACAACAACTCACCCTTATGTCACAGATAATACTCCTACAACTGTACAAACAACTCACCCTTATGTCACAGATAATACTCCCTACAACTGTACAACAACTCACCTTATGTACAGATAATACTCCCTACAACTGAACAACTCACCTTATGTCACAGATAATACTCCTAGTACAACTGTACAACAACTCACCTTATGTCACAGATAATACTCCACAACTGTACAACAACTCCCTTATGTAACAATAATACTCCCTACAACTGTACAACAACTCACCCTTATGTCACAGATAATACTCCCTACAACTGCACAACTCACCTTTATGTCACAGATAATACTCCCTACAACTGTACAACAACTTCACCTTATGTACAGTAATACTCCCTACAACTGTACACAACTCACCCTTATGTCACTAATGTAA